AGTGTTCAATAAATATTAACCATTATCAGGGATTTGCATCCCTTTCTTTTTGGGGTAAAAGGAGTAGTAACAGAGAAAAATAACTGTTGACCACTTAAAGAGTTAGTTAGGAAGTTTTGGTTCAGATGACCTTACTGTAGGAAGATACCAAACTCCACCTATCCCCATGACCACGCACATCTATATATGGATCTGAAAAAAAAAAAAAATCCATGAAAATCACCAGAGCCACTACTTCACATGAGCAAATGAGAAAAAACCCATATGGAAGCAGGTAGGAAAGGCCAAGATACAGTCTCCCTACAATCTGCACCCCGGGTGTGGTGACTGTGGGGCTGGTGACCAGGAAGGAAATCAACATCCAGAGCATCCCCTGAGGAGAGAAGGGTTTGTGTCCCGCATGGGACATCCCAACATTCAAACCCAGCAGCTGAGACATGAGTTCCAAAACATCTAGCTTTGAAAATCACAGAACTCACACCCATGACACCCAGGGGCACCCTAATTTTTTGAAGTTACTGCCAGGGGCCTCTCCATCTGTATCACCGGTGACCATTAGTGTTTGAGCTCATGGGTCCTGTGGGACTGTTACCAGTGGAGAAAGCATTCCTGAGTTACTACCACTGTCAGGCCACAGTCTTTCTGTGAAAAGGTCCTCTAAGCTTAACACCATAGCTGCAGCCTGAGGAATAGACTTCTGATTAAACCCACATCCAAGCATGGGCTGTAAATCTTTCCAGAAACTTCAGATGGTGGGCACTAGCTCCATCCTCTCCTTCTGCCATCTCCAGAGAGGTTGTATCTCTCAGAAGGTAGCTGCTAGATGTGTCCGGTGCCTAAGCTTTTATGTCTGATGGACTGATGTTAGTAAGTGGAGATGTTCCTGGATTGATGGGCTCTGGTTGCCAGAGGGGTTAGCATTTCTGGCTCCCTAGGACTTTAATATTTGTGAAAATGTGCATGGAACTCGAGAGCATTGTGCTAAGCGAAGTAAGTCAGCACAGAAAGAGAAATAGCACATCATCTCACTTATATGTGGAACCTAAGGAAAACGTAAACCAAGTTCACAGAAAAAGGATAGATTGGTAGGTGAGGGGAGGGGGTAGGGCAAAATGGATGATGAGGTCATAGGGTGCAAAGTTCCAGTTATAAAATGAACAAGTCCTGGGAGGTAATGCACAGCATGGTTATTATAGTTAATACTGCATTGCACATTTGAAACTGCTAAGTAAATGATAAAAGTTCTCATCACAAGAAAAAAAAACTAGTAACATGTAAAGTAACTGATGTTAACTAGACTAGTGTGGTAATCATTTCATAATATAAACACATATTAAATCGATGTATTATAAACCTAAAACCAATATAATCCTATGTGAAAATTAGGGCTTAATTTAAAATATTCTGTGAAATCTTTTTAGACTGTTCAGGATAAGTCAATTGACCATGGTTTTTTTTATTGAAATGTTTTATAAACTACCAAAAAATTGAAAACTCAATGACTAAGTTTATTTTTGTGTTTAAATCAAAAACTTTGGCCATTATTTCTCTGGACCCAGGACCTAGCAAGTGAAGATAACACGAACAGAGTGCTCTATGTCTAATTCATGGATAGAATTTGGGGAAATTAATGCCTGGCACCTCCAATGGTACCTCAGTGGTAATAGTCATTGCAGCTACAAATAGAAAGTGTCTGAGCCTCAGCACCCATCCCTTCTAGACCTTGCCAGCCATCCTTCAATCCATCAATGTAAGAGGTATATGCTTGCAAATGCAGAATTATGAACATTTTTTAAAGATTCATTTATTTATGCATGTAAGAGCTGGGGTACAGGCCAGAGATTTGGGGATAGGGAGGTGAGAGGATCCACCAGAGACAGAGTGGGGAACAGAACAGGGACCTACAGAACAGGGATCTACTGAAACACACTGCTGAGGGGAGCAGCGGGTGAGACAGGAGAGGTCTGCTTTGGCCATGTGGGTTGCTCCCTGGCCAGCCAGGGATCGAACTCGTGCTGCAGAGGCTGCAGACTGCTTCACAGCGCGGTGCTTAACCCCTTGCACCACCAGGGAGGCCCCAGAATTATGAATTTTAAAGAGTTTTTGATCAAACTTGGGACACTTGGCAGTTACTGGGCACCAGTATTCTCATTTTAGGCTGCTTCTCTAGGCCTTGCTCACATCAACAAACTCAAATTAAAACTCATGAAATTTCTGTCCTTTCCTGCCTTGGTTAAAAAAATAAGAATTATTAAATTACTACTGAAAAATCTTCTGGTTGTTGTTACATATAAAACTCAGGGATATACTACAATTTTAAACCAAGAAAGGTTCTTTTCTTTATGTTCCCTATGCCTGAAACCATTCTTCAATTACATGGAAGAAAACCTGACCTTGCAATTAGTTTTTCAGGATTAAATTCTGGCTATAAAGGTATTCCATTTTTGTCACCTACAAACTAAATAGTCATCATTTTATGCAAATTAATATTCTTTTTTTTTAAGTTTTGACACATCTGCTGATTTGTATTTTATTTAAATAAAAGCATACAGATTAATAAATCTAAAACAGATTGATAATTGAATGAATAGATCAATAAATATCTGAAGCTGGAAGATGAAGCAAGTCTTTCAAAGGTTTTTAAAGGCAGTCCTTCCAATCTGCTTCAGGCTAAAACTTGGTATTCAAAGTTGATGGTAAGAATGCAAATTGCTTTTCCAAAAAGTTGTTTATATTGCTTAAGCTGCTTCTTACCTGCAAAGCAGTGGGGGAAAGGTAAAAAACAAACACTTTATCAGGCTTCTCATGATTTTTTAATCTATTCTGTGCAAAAATATGGCTTACAGTTTATTGCTGAAATGTCGGAATCTCAAGATTCCCAGTCCACATTCTTAAATTTAACAAGTATCTCAATTACTTGCAGAATATTCACTTCCATAATTTTAGTACCATACTATTCACAGTTATCCCCCTGGTACTCATGCAGAGAAATTCTCACAAGAGACATGGACCTCAAAATGCCCAATTGAAAACACACTGTGACAATCCATTGTTTTGATTATAAATCCATTGTTTTGATTATAAAGCCATTGTTCTGATAAATAAACCAGTCAATTGCATATTTTTTCTTCTATGAAACCAAAACTACAAAAATCATTTCTTCATAATAATTTCAATTTTTACTAAAATGCTTCTCAAAAGAACAATAGGTGATGACAAACTACTATTTTCATCAGCTACTATTTCCATTTTGAAGTTTTTTCTGTATCTTAGCAAAGGTGTGAAATACTGTTTAGATTCTAGTGAAGGTAATTGCCTTACTGCAGTTTCAAATTTATTTTTTCCAGATAATAAATGCTTTTGTAGCCTGATTAGAACTTAACCAATTTGTTGAAGTAACAAATAGATCTAATAGTTTTTATTCTGAACCTTGAACCTTTATATTCACAAGCTTCCTTCACCCACTTAATTGTCTAATACAGGAAGAATATATTGAATATAAATAAGTTATCTTTTGAATCAAAGTTCTATATTGTTCACTTTTCTATATTACAGATGCAGGTTTTGATGATGTAGGCAAAAGGGATAAGTGTGCACAGACCAGGAAAAGAATCCTGAAATTTTGGATTTTTAAAAATTGAAATCCTTGTTGGATGTCTGTTACATTTCTCTGTCATTTTCTTCTAATGGAAAACTACAGAGAAGTAATTCAGTTCATTAAATGCTAGTTATCTATGTTCTGCATGTTTATAAAAATATAAAAGCAACATTTCATGAGGAGATTGAATAGCAGAGTTGATAGGTGAGTGGAGATTGAAGTATATATTCATCTCATTTCTTATTTTGAATTTTGGGTGATAAAAGGACATTAGAACACATAATCAAAGTCACAGTTTCACCAATAAAATCCTTAAAAAAAGATATTCCTCTTCTAACTTAATCCCCTTTTTACTAATAGCAAACTAATTTAAATAATTGCATTTACAAATAAACCCCAGAATAACAAAATTTATCTGTGGCAAATACATTCTGCAACTAGAACTCATGAAGCTCCTGTCTGTTGTACCAGAGAGAGTCTGCTCTAACATTAGTTTCTGAACTCTATGGCCAATTAACTAGTACATTGATATAAATGACTGTGTAGATATATTGGAGAATTTTGACAACTAGATATTTAACAGAATGATGTGCCTTTAATTTGTAGTCAAATTATTTAGTCAAATCAGTTATTGAGTTCTCACTTTAGAACACTGGTTTTGTTTTGCCAGTTGTATGTTTTTTTATTCCCTATATGAAAACATACTCACCCCTATGCAACACGAGAGGAAGATGAGGATGGGTTAATGTTCTTAATTTGGCTTTTTTGGTTGACCTTTGAGACTGTATATCCCAGCTCCCAATTCAGGACTTTAAAAATGGTTCACATTACATTATCCTTTTTCTGCTTATTTTGCTAAGATTGCACAGCAATTTTTTAAAGGAAAGTTTAATGTTCAAAACAACGCTGTAAAGACAAATTAATCCCATCTGGTATAAGTAAATCAAACGCCGATGCCTCCGCTGCTATGGCAGCTTTCTCAGTTGAGTTGAGTCATCACAGTAGAGTCAGGGAAAGTCAGCCAATCTTCAGACATCTTGACATTCTTTTTAGAAAAGAAAAATTACCTTGCCCTTAAATTCTCCAGCTAAATATTCTATAGCAAGGGTGAAAACAAGTTGTAACTAATTAGAATATCTCAATTATCTCTTGTGTCAATTGATTTTTGGTATTCTTGAATAAGTAGCATGACAGTAAACCAAATATGTGTGTAATGCTGTATGCCACAACTGTTTCCCAGGCTTGAGATTGAAACTCTTAAGTTGTTTTGACTGGTAACTAATAGCAATTTAGATAGTTCTGTACAAATTTAGAGACATGAGATTCAAAACCATATCTGTATTCCAGCACATTCTTCATGTCAGAACCATTTAAATCACCATCTTACGCAAGTACATATTGAAACTCAACTTTAAGCATTTTATTTTTATGTACATTTCATTTTGTCCAGAAATAAAATATCTAAATACAGACAGACTGTAATGCCGTATATGTATAGCTTTCAACAATACTTGAGCTGAATAAATGCTTTGTACATTAAGTTTGTCTTTTAATGGAGTTCACAGCTACATTGATAAAATGGATTCCTCATATCCTTTTTTTTTTTTCTTTTTAACCAATAACAAGCAGAGAGACAAGTACAAGTTAATATTAATAAGCAGCTCAAATAACACCGGGTTAAACTATGTACAATACAAACCATTCATACAAATGAAGACTAGGATATTGAATTTGTTACAATATGTGTAGTAAAGATAAGACAGACACTTATCACTTACATGGTGTCTGTCAGGCAATTCCCTTCTTACATAATGATCAGAACTTGTTTTAAGCATCCTTAGCTGGTCTTGACTTTGCCAAAGTCCAGTGATTGGTGATGAAAGCTGTAATCCAGTGTCTGCCCACATGTAAATTCCAAATGTTTGCTCATCTTTACCAAGAACAGGCTCCCTCCATAGAAAAAAAAAAAAAAAGAGCCATCTTGTATCACCTTGAATGTGCCTACTGTATGCTGGGGAAAAGTTACTACACTTTGTTGTGTTCGTAAAATAAAGAATACTGAGCTCTAAAGACACATTGTTTTCCATTTTAACAAGCATATACTCCTACAGTAGTATTTACCAGTACAGCTACTCCAAGCAGTAGGAATGCATGAGTGGGGATTATTAATTAGCATGTACTCAAGACTTTAAAAGAGATTTCTATAGCATCAATGTTAGAAACCATTCTCTGTTTAGTTAATCCTTTTCTTGATGATAGTTTATCCTGAACCATTATGAGTCAGACAATGAAAGCCCTCCTGACAGGAATCATGACAGGTGCAAGCTGAAATGTGTATGAGTGTGTGTGTTCATGTACATCTAAGTATGAGAGCATGTCTTCAAGTGTAGCTTTAAAATATGTGGTGATTTGCAGCTATACTGAGAGATGAAGCTGACTGGGCAGAAATTACATCAGAATGTTTTCCACTAGCGTATTTGCAGCCAGTTGACAAGAGCAGCAGTGTAGACACATTCCAGGCAACAGATGTGACCTTCTTCATTGAGGTAACAGCCCTATCATATGACCTTTAATTCCTCAGGCTTCAGTCTCACCCCCATGTTCATCCTCATCCGGAGGGGAAGTAAGGTGTGTCACTATGGTAGTTGTAGTCGGGGCACACTTTCTGTACTAGTTTATAATCTGTACTATAAAAGGAAATGTAAATACAGATCACCTTAAAGGGCTTGGAGCAGAGCCAGGACACATGACTTTGGGTCTGCTCCTGGTAACAGGTTTTTGAAGGGTCATAGTTGCAGAGTGTGTTCTTGGTAGCCTTGTCAACCTTTTCATACTCAATGCGACAGTTAAAGGACTTGGAATCTTTGGCATCAATCACGGTTTGTTGTGCCAAGTCAAATTCCACTATTTTCGTAGGGGGCACCAAGCTGACCGATACATTCCCTTGACCAGTGGAATTGTGCCTGAAATAAACACTAAATGTCCCATTGCCATGATCTACAATTTTCCCAGTTATCAATAGGTTTAGCTTCACTGTTTTGATGTTGGAATGAAAATCACCCCATCCAAACATTTTCTTAAACTTGCCCGTCTTAACAATAGGCCTTCTCTTGGCCCTGGGCCGAGGCTCTTGAGGGTCTGTGGAGTTCCTCAGCCAATCCCAGAGATCTTGCTCAGAATAAGGTTCTGGGGTGTCATATCGCAGGTCTAGATCTGTATCGTTTTCTTTGCCACGAAAAGTCTGTGATAGGAGTCGGCTGATAGACAAGTCTTTGCTGCTTTCTGTCCATATGTGCTTTAGTGTCGATTTGCTGCTTCCTGATTTTAGAAGTTCTGACTTTCCACCATTTGTTAAGTTGGCACATGTGACCTGAAAATGGAACAAAAAAATGGTGTTTACATCTCTGTATCTGAGCACACCCCTCACATAGAGCCAAGCCCTTTTTTAGAGGCTCAGAAATAAATGAACATGTGACAAATTAAATTAACATGTGACAAAATGCCACTTTCAATTTTATATAATGATGAGAGAGAGGAGGTATACATATACAAAAGAGTGAAAAATTATATAAAAAATCACTTTAAGGAGGAAACAGCTACCTAATATGCATAAGGCTGACTGAATACCAACACAAATCTAAGTAGCTATTTTAGTACCAAGCATAGGGAACATTTGAAATAAAATTTGTAATCATTGTTATTTTTCTACTTGAAACAAATTAAAACTATATGATTATCTGAAGTATGTTTCTTGACATCCTATACACTCTTGATAGCTCATGCCACAGTCATAAGAAAAGTTAGTTTTGCAAAGAGACTCTAGTATATCTCAACTGGTCAAAACAAAGTATTGTTTTTATTATTACTTATTGCATGTAAAAAATATATTGCATAAGATGGAATTTTTTTATTTATTTCTACATAGAAGAACTGGGGTGTATGCCAGAGGTGCAGGAGGTAAGAGGATTCATCACAGACAGAGTGGAGAGCAGAACAGGAGGGTCTATTGAAATAGAGTGGGGAGCAGCAGGCGAAACAGGGGATATCTGCTGCACCATGTGGGTTAGCTCCCCTAGGTGGGGATCGAACTCAGGGTGCTTAGCTGTAGAGGGCAGTCATGGTAGTAGGACTGAGACTTAATCCCTAGGCCACCAGGGAGGCAGCTAAGATGTAATTTTTTTTTAATCTTAAGAGGCTTAAAATGTGGTCTAAGTAAAGGGATGTAAATAAAAATATCTAATAATTATCAGTTCATAATTAATAATTATCAATCTAGAGAAGCAAAAACTGCATGGTTAATGACAGAGGTTGCTTCAAGATGGAGAAACTGTTCTCCTAGGAACCCATTCTTATCTCTTTGGGAAGAATTAGATTTCCAATTGATTGGTGAAACATCTGAATCTGTACTTGCCTAATTACATAGGCTTTGTCCTATCACAAGTCCTATATTTATGCCTAAATATAGAAGAAATAAATGCATACCCACAACAGTCTCATGGTCTGAAGTTAAAGCAGTGATCTGATTTTGATTCAGAGGGTTCAAAGCCACACAGGAACCAAATCAGCTAATACAGACCAACTTTTTAAATGTAGACTGGGGCCTCCCTGGTGGCTCAAGGGTTTAAGATGCAGCCTATGAAATTATTGGCAGCCACTGCAGCACGAGTTTGATCCCTGACTGGCCAGGGAGCTAGCAGACCTCTTCTGACATGCGCGCTGCTCCCCTCAGCAGTGTATTTCAGTCAATCTGCCTGTTCTGCTCCCCACTCTGTCTCTGCTGAATCCTCTCAACCCCTGCATCTCTGGCCTGTACCCGAGTTCTTGCATGCATAAATAAATAAATCTTTAAAAATATAAAAATAAATGTAGACTAACTGTTTTAAGGCTGCTGAAGGGAATTCCCAGTTGCCTGCTACAAAGCCATGTTTCACAAGACATTTCTATTGCCAGACCCCTCCAGAACCATTTCTGAGTCTTATCTTAGAAATGAGCCTTACTACCATTCAGTAACCTCATTGGACCCTCTATTCTCCTTCAAAACTATTCTCAACATGAGAGGTCACTCCTGCAGAACTTTATTTTTTTTAAAGATTTATTTATTTAGACAAGCACTAGGTACAGTCAGAAGTACAGGAGGGTGAGAGAATTCACCAGAGCCAGAGCGTGTAGCAGAACAGGCAGACTGACAAAGTATACTGGTAAGGGGAGTAGTGGGCGGCAGGAGAGGTCTGTGTGCCACGTGGGACCCTCACTGGCGGCCAGGGATCGAACCAGTGCTGCAGAGGCTGCGGGCAGCCTCGCAACCCAGCACTCAACCGCTGAGCCACTGGGGAGGCCCCTGAAGAACCTTTTAATTCCGGGCCATTAGAAATAAGAGCTGCATTGTAGAGACCCCTCCACAGAGTTAGCAGTGCAGGCAGCTTGCAATGACACAGCCTAGCTTGGGAATTATCTCCTACTCTGTTATTTGTGCTAGGAGGACTATCTCAATTTCTAGGGAGAAAGTACATAAATTTTAGCAGTAACTTCTTTAAGAACTACTGTCAACTCTGACAACCAAGCTGCATGCCCTGGACCAGGCTACTTAACATCTGTCTGCCTCAGTTCTCTGTCTCTGTAAACTGAAAGTAATGCTAACCCTATAAGTTTGCTGTGAGAACTGAGTGACCTAAGACATGTAAAATCTTCATAACAGCAGTTGGCGCATGGGAAGAGTTCAAATAAATTTAGCTATTATTATGAATTCCAAACTGATATATGAAGACAGAAAAAGGAGGCCATCAAAAGGTATATATGGACGTTGAGCCCTGATCACATAATCAAGTACTGGGAATTTGCATGGGGTTCATTCTCCCACAAACATAAATGCAGGAGGCATTGGTAATGGAAACTAGAACTAGGCCACTTGGATTTTGTAATCTTTCCTTTCCACAATGCCTTAGGATCAGTGAGTTTTTCACTATCAGCTAGTAAGTAGTTTCTTCTCTGCCCAGTTCAACTTAAACCATGTGAGTCCTATGGGACTATTCCCACTGGGAAAAAAAAACTGCAAAGGAAGTTGGGCTCTTCCAGTAATGCTGAACTTAAGAAAACTCACACATTTAGCCCAAATCACGCTCATTGCTCCTGAGAGAAATGAGGGTCTATACTGGTTTTATATCCATGAGCAAGACTGATGCCCTGGGTAGGTTAACAGAAAAGCCCTGTCAACAATTTCAGGCTGCTAGCCTGGTCCTTTTCCTTCCATTGTGACTCTCAGGCAACAATGGTGCCTTCATAGAATGATCCAGAGGCCATTGTGCACAGAAGTAAATGAGAGAGAGACACTGACCAATTAAGAAACAAGTCCTAGGGATGGGATAAGGCCCAGAAATAATAGACAAATTACAATGTCCATGGTCCCTTGGGCTTCCTACCTCTTTGGTGCCCCATCCCCTATCCTTAAAGAGACAATGGAGAGGAAGATATTCTTTGTGAAGGGGGATAATGGGAAGTAATGTATGTCTTTTTTTTTTAAAGATTTATTTATTTAGTTATACAAGAACCGGCGTACAGGCCAGATGCATGGGAGAGTGAGAGGATTCACCAGAGACAGTTTGGGAAACAGAACAGGCAGACTGACAAAATACACTGCTGAGGGGAGCAGCGGGTGAGACAGGAGAGGTCTGCTGCGTCATGTGGGACCCTCGCCAGGCAGCCAGCCGGGAATCAAACCGGCGCTGCAGAGGCTGTGGACAGCTTCAGCTTCACAGCGCGGCCCTCAACCACCTGCGCCACCAGGGGAGGCCCTGTATGTCTCTTCTTAAGGGGAAAACATGAAACAACCCACTTATCCTATCTACATGTTATTGACACTAGTCCTCCATAAGACCACTCTAATATGAAACGTCTAATCCTTGGTAGTTCCATAATTAATATTTTATCATGATAAAGACAAAACTAATGGAAACCACAAAAGGTCCCCTACTCATTCACTGAAGGAAGTGAATGTCAGAGTATACTACTTTTCCGTAATACAGAGTAGTTATAAAATAAAGTTACAAATAAGCATTAATTACCAAGAGTAGTACAGATCTTTTGGGTTTGGCAGGCTTATGTGTGTGTGTCTCTGTGTGTGTGTGTGTGTGTGTGCCTTGTTTGTTTTGTTTCAATGAAATCTGTAAGTCAAACATCCAAATCTGGTACTTTTGTGATTATGTAAAAATTGTTCTTATCACAACCTATGCATTTATACCTCAGTATAAAAGGAATAAATGCATATCCAATTCTCTGGTTTTTGCCTAGCATTATGTAGATTATTCCCCACTCTTTGAATTGTCGATAAGAATAAACACTGTCATGCATTGGGTATAGACTTGGTACTTGTATCTCAGCATCGAGACAGTTGATCAAACAGAGGGGCTGTAACAAGTTGGCTCCATGGTGCACTGGCTCATGAAGCAGTAATGGAATTGTCCCAAAGAAGGAAGTGAAAAGGCACTTAGAGTGAAATTTACCAGTGGCATATGTGAGTGAAAGAAAATAAATGTGGAAGTGGGAGATAAGACTTCAAGGATGAAGAACCAATCTCTTCAAAAGGATGCTAGATTCTAACAGGCAAACAAATCTCTGATATTCAGGTAGGATAGAAATTTAGTTCCTAATTATACTTCCCACAGCTTGTAGGACTGAGTGTGAACGCTGGGATCAGATTGAATCCCAGTCCAAGCAGTGCTTTAACAGCTGTATGATGTGGGCAAGTTGTTTTACTTGTTTTCATGTCTGTTTTTCTCCTCCAGAGAATATTCTTTTCCAGAGAATAGGAGTCCATCTCCTTCACAAGGCTGATGTGAGAATTAAAGAAGACATTCCTTTTAAAGCACTAAGTACTGTCATGAGTGTTTGATGTTACTGTTACCTCTTATCATATTTTTACCTCTGAATCCCACTGGGTAATAGTTTACATACATGAAGAATTTACTGTAGGATTTGAGAGCAGCAGTATTTTATAAGAGAATAGCCCTTTAACAAAACCTAAAGCAAACAATTTAAAAAGAAAGCATACACTTATGAAAGTGCTGCCGTGATAAACTAAAAAATCAGCAGGTTGAGTCAATCGACAGGTAAAATTCAATTTAACCACGAATGACCATAATTTTAGCTATTAAGCTGTTCAGCTACCAAATGCATTAAAGGTATTTGCCTTCAATTGTGTGACATGACAAGTTTTGAGTGCTTACAGTCTAGAAAGCTCTCTGAAATATTTGAGGTTAGGGACAGAATCATGGCAGTTTTCTGTGGCAATTGTCATCAACACTCTCTTGAATATTTCTTTTTTTCTTCCCTTCCCCTTCCACTTAGATTAAGAGAACAGCAATGCAATATCTGACA